AAAGACAGGCTAAACTCCTGCCTCTGAAAAACTTGCTTTTATTATGCGGTCTTCCCTTCTATGAGTGTTTTCTTTGACTTTTTCCCATTTAACCTCACTGATCCCACAACTTTATATTTTTCTCAACAAACTCTGCTTTTACTTTTTGATCTTAAATGTCTCATGCTTCTTCAGATATATACTTCATTTAATTTACAAAAAGATAAAGACTAAGAGTTGTATGTACTCACATAAAACTTTTATCCCTTTCCACATTGCCTGTTTGCACACCCAAGTTTCCAAATCATACTTTCTTAAAGGATAGCGGGCAGATAACATGCTGACACTGGTTATTACAGTAGGCACTATATATTATATACTTGTCAGTAGCAAGATAGCACAAATGCATAAACATGATAACAGAATTGAATGGTAAAGCTCAGGAGGCGCTGATTTACCTGTGATAAAGTTGTTTTAATAAGGTCATTTAAATTTTTATATGTTCATTTACAGCAAGGCCACAAACATAATGCCTCATAGTGATCTGAGGTTGCTGTGAGAGTACTTCCTAACTCTTCACATGACATTTTGCTCTGTGATGCACAGTGCCATCTGATACGGCAGCCACCTTCCAGATGCATGACCACTTAAAATGAAGGTAGATTTTGAGATTTTCTGTAAATATGAAGTAGACTGGCTATGGAAAATAAAATTGTAAGTTATCTCACTAAGAATTTTGTATTTCTCGAATTTTGAAAAGGTAATATTTTGACATATTGCATTAATTTCATTTATTTACTTATTTTCAACTTTTTTAGGGAAGCTGCTTTAAATTGCAAATGATGCTTGAGGCGCATTTCCAAGAGCCAACACAGCTGGAGAACATTCAGCATTTTCTTTTTTCATGGAGAGTCTTGCAGACATAAAAAAAAATATTTGGGGGGATTTTCTAAAACATATTTGGTGTGTTTCAATAATTTGTTGCACTATCTTATAGAAGTTTCTGGTATATGGTTCTGATAAACATGATTGCTTGACACATTATTTACAAATATATGTTTTAAAAATGCATTCCACTGATAATGGAAATAAACACTAAAGCAGCTCCAGCTGCCACTTAGTTGTCATAAGCAGGACATTTTTTACTTTCTGCCGCATGATCACTTGAAACATAGGAGGTGACATTGCAATACTGACATCAAAGCAAAATAGACATCTCCAAAAGCTGGGTGTGCCTGCTCAGTATTCTTGTCTGAGCACTGATCAACAATTCTTGCTAGAATGTGTCTATAGCTCTTTGTACAGATACTTGTGTAAAAAATGGTTGTACTTAATATATAATTGTTAAATTACTGGCTATAGTATAAATCAAAGCAAAAGAATAATATTATCAATTCATATTTCCTGAGAATTATTTTTATTTTTTATTTTGTGGTACCAGGGATTGAACTCAGGACCCTGCACTTGCTAGGCAAGCACTTATTCTACTGAGCTATCTTCCCGGCCCCCAATTATTGTTAAATATAGTTTTATGTTTGGCAAGTGAATAAACACCTAGAAAACTGTGGAATTACAATGTGTTAAACATAAAAAATTCTGTCTTGAACTGATCCCTACCTAAACATTTTTCTCCAATATAGTTTTTAGGACCAATCAAAGTATGATATACACCAAGGGAAGGAAAGGAAATAAAATTCTTAAAATGGGAATGAGTAACTAGGTGTAGGTAGTAAAACCAACTTCTACTTAGCTGGAAAAGTAGTAAAGGAGTTGAAATATGTTTTCCAAAATAAAAACTTAAGTGTTTTACTGTACTACTATGTCTTCCCCTCTGAATGAGAAACACTACTCATTACCTCCTTCTCCTGTCTTTCTTACTCTCTTCTTTGACCCAACATGGAGCTCCTATAATTCACTCTATTGGCCTCTTTTCAGTCTCTCCTTTGCTTCAAACTACCTTCCTCCTCCCTATTCTGTACTCAATTATTAACAAATTCACCTCAGATTTCATAGCATCATGTCCACCTTACTTGCTTTAAAAGCTCAGGGGAGACAGCTCAGCAGCATAAGCACCTGACTGGCATGCACAAGGTCCCGAGTTTTATCTCAGGTACTGCTAAATAAATAAACTCTCTTTAATTCCAACTACTTAGTAGCACCAGAGCATGTGATCATACTTGAAGAAAATAAGTCCTTTGGTCTCACTTAAATTTTTGACGTTGAACCTCAAAGGGAATGTTTCTTATGGCCGAGACAGCTCTGGCCCATTTCTCACAAGAATTTACTGCCCACTCTACTAAGATCCATTCACTTTTATCTTTAAACTTATATCTTCCTTAAGTCATTTCTGTTGATAAATTTTTCTCTATTTCACTGAGAAAAGAGAAGTAATATGAAGATAATTGACTACTACATGGTTCAGTCTCGTGGATACTGTTACAACCTGTTTATACTAAGGGACTGTCCATGTCCCTCCATCCAAACTTGCCATCTGCACGCTGCACTTCACGCTCCTCTAAGCCACTCAGTGGAATCACTACTACAAACATAGTCCTTCCTCGTCTACTTCCCCAGCATGTTGCGCTCTTACATCATTTCCATTCTGTCCTCACTATCCTTCTGTTCATTCAAGTATTTCTTTTGTGACTAACAATTCACTAAAAATCAGTTCTAAAATTTTCTCTGAAAAATCAAAAGATGTCGTCTCTGAATGCAAAGCTAAGCATGTGTTGAATGAGAACAATTTAAATGTGAAATTCACTCCTCATTTGCAATATCAATTTTTTTCTCTTATAACGAAGGAAATAATGGAACCACCCCAAAGAAGTTTGATTCATTTTGATTAATGGTCTATTGGAGTTCATCTTCAGACTGTTGTCTTTCCACCTTGTTTCTGCATCCTATTATTCCAAGGACTATGTCAATCCATTCTCCTTAACTTTCATCAAAGTTACATTCCTAAAATACCAGGGCAGCATACAGGAAATGAGTCTGGAGCAGAAAAGACAGTGTTTGGAATCCTGGCTATAGAATTAACTGTATCTGTGGCTTTAAGTAAATCATTTAACATTTCTGAAGACTAAGTTTCTTCTTATGCAAAATGAAGATAATGTGAAAATGAGGTTAATTTGATTCACATCTGTCTAAATGGTGGGCGAGTATGTTCTTTACTTTATGTCTTGCACATAGGAAATACTATTTTGTGTTGGCAGAATAATGATGATAGTGGTGGTCAGAATAATGAACAAAGGCAAATACGCCTTTTCTTTTCAGGAACTGAGAGTTGTCCCATTGTGTAACAGAAAATGACAAAATTGCTCTGCATGAATTTTCAGATGCTCCACAATCTTTTCCTGCTCTTATCTATGAAGCGTGGTATCTGCTACTCAAAAAGGTACATTTTTGGCTCCAATAACATAGATGACTCATCACTGTTAATCCATGCTTTGTGCTAATTCATACCTTAAACTCCTTCATGCAGACTGCTTCTACGAAGTAAGCATTCTTTTCTCGCTTTCAGAAATTACTCAAGTTTCACTAATTTCCCAATACTCAGCTCAGGAGTTGGATCTCTTTCAAAGCTAGTTCAATTTCTCTAGCACTAATATCCTGACCATAAGAGGAATTTGTAATGCTTTTGGCCAAATTCAATTAACCCTTAATATTACTTCTTTAAAAAGTTATGACACTTCTTTAAGTAGAAATGACCTGAAGTAATTCTTCATAGACTTAAGAATCATAGCCATTATCTTTGTGGCTGTAATTCTTAGATGAAACATAAATCAGAGGCCACACCCATACTAAGATACAAGAAGCTACATCCCAGAGATTAGGCAACTATTGAATCCAATGAAAATACGTGAATATTGCCAAAAAGACACAATCAATTCTTGTTTAACTACAGAACTATTTTTAAAGTTTTTTGAAACTAAAACAACTCACATAAATCATTTTTCAATATTTTCCAAATATTTTAAGTACACTATTTTGCAAAATCACACAAAACCCACAAATATTATCTCATTAGCTCATCAAGATTACTTCCCAATTTAATATTTGCATAAAAATAACAAAAACTTAGAATTTACACATATTTGTTGTTGTACAAGCAAATTTATGGGTTAAAAGATGATTTACTAACAAGCATACACTTATTGAAAGTTGTAATACTCCCATAAAAAGTTTATCAAAAACATTCATGTGATTTTAGAAAACAAAAAATTGGTATGATTATGAAAAAAGATCATTATGTCATTTGATGCTAAATATTAAATATTTTTAATTGTTTTCAGAATAATTTCCCTAAGTATATATTTATCTAATAGATTTACTTACACACTTTCTACTCTAATCATTTATTTAAAAAAACATAAACAAGTGATTCCCAAATATTTCCTAAGAATTTAATCTTTACTTCTACAACTTATTTCTATATAACTAAATGTCAGCTTCCCTTTTAGCAAGTAGAAGATTATACTGTTTTATCCCATTTCTCTCTCCTCCACAATATGTAGGTAAAATAAAAATTAAATACTAGTACTAGGTTTAAAGTTGATAATGAGAATATTCCAGAAAGAAAACTCTCAAAATGCAAAGTGCATAGAGTACGTGGTAATTTCAGTTTTTATTCTAAAAATAGACATTACTTTAAGCACACTGACTAATTCACATTCAGGTAGAATTAGAGTTAAGTTTCAGTAGCAAGATCTTCTATTAGAGTCTAATCTTAGAGTTTCAGCTCTTACCGGCATTTTGTTTAGTACAATAATTTTTTAAAGGCAGAAAATATATGACAAGATGTCAGAGCAAATAACACCCACAGTGGAAAAATAGAAGAAGAGAAGAAATGAAATCCATTTTAAAAGAGATTTTAAATCCTGCTTTTTCCCATACTAACAGTAGATTTCTCTGCTCCTTGCAAACAAGTGTCATTTTCTTTACCCTGAGAATAATGCATATTCTCTTCAATGGGAAAGTATAAAAATGAAGCAGAAAACCACAAGGTTATGAAACTCTCTTACCCTCTGGGCTTGCGGGTTGCTCCGGCTTCTCAGTTAAACACACGTGTAAACAACAGTTTCCTGCATTCTCTTCTCTTTTGTGCAGTTCCAGGGTCCTGGCCAGAAGGATTATTTCAGCATTAATGACACTACACTAACTCAAAAAGCATTCCCATTGGTTATAAAACTTTATCAAAGCCAATACCACAACACCCTCTTTAGGTTATAAGTGATCTAACCAAAATAAAACTATTTAATGTTCCCTAAGTATTAAATATTATGCTATCTAAAGCTTCCCAGACAGCCTATTTGAATCATGTGCTCCGAGTGGAAAATGAAGAAAATAACCAATCTTTCAGTCACTCATATGCTTAGTATTTTAAAGCCAGGATGTATAATAGAAAAAAAAGGAAAGATGGCAAAATAAAAATTATCACAGTACTGCTTGGTAAAGTTATAATGCAATTCAAAGGAACAATGGAAAATATCATTCTTTCAATTTGACTTGTATTAGATCACCAAAAATAGATCATATTTTAAAAAATATCTGAGTGCATAAATCATAATACAAAATCTGACTATCAGCCCTTTGACCTGTACCAGGTTGGCAGAAATTGTGAACTCCAGTCTGGATGGCCTTCTGAGACAGCTCTCTGGCCTCTTGCAGGGTGAGGTGTGGAATGTTTTTCAGGGACACTACTAGGCTGGAAGGACTCTCATGGAAGCCAGAGTCTCAGTCTTTAGTAATGACGCACGACTCCTCCAGTCTCTGAATGGAGAGGTCTTTCTGTTATCCTTACTTCTCTCCACACTTCAAACTAAATAACTTTTGATTGAAAGCCGAATGAATAGTCTATTCCTTTGCCTCTAGTTCACACACTCCCATCCTTTCAGAATCCCACACCACGATATTTGTCTCACCAAGATATTTTACCAGTAAGTTAACAAATCACTGACCATAACATCTGAGTACATTTGATGATGTTGCCTCACTCGGGAACATTCAAAATAGAACTTCAAATATTTTGTTGGCAAGTTTACAATATATGAATGTCCTTAATACAAACAAGGCATGTTAACAATTTTATTGGATTCTGATTTTATTCTATGGGCTATGTACTCCCTAGAGCTTCTTCTATTTGCCTATGCAGTATGATTTTCCTTCTTTATTTCTTCAAAATAAAATTTTTTCTTTAAAAATATAGCCAATTAAAGGGGGAAAAAAAGGACAGGGAGCTAGCTCAGCAGAATAAGCGCCTGCCTGGCAAGCACTGGGTCCTGAGTTCAATCCCCAGTACCACCAAAAAAAAAAAAAAAAAAAA